ATCATTCTAGATGAGCTTCCATTTAAGCATATAGAGGGCAAGGGATTCAAGACATTTTTATCTAATTTGTAACCTAGATTCAAGCTTCCATCTCGTTTTACAATTTCAAGAGATTGCTATCAAATTTATTTAGATGAGAAAATAAAGTTGAAGTAATTTTTGAAACAAAATAGTCAAAGAATTAGCCTTACTACTAACACATGGACATCTATTCAAAGAATCAATTACATATGTTTAACGGCTCATTTTATTGATAATGATTGGAAGTTGCATAAAAAGATCTTGAATTTTTGTCCGATTGATAGTCATAAGGGAGTAGATTTAGGTATTGCCTTTGAGAAATGCTTGATTGATTAGGGAATTGAGAAGGGTTTTAGTGTTACGGTTGATAATGCGAGTTCGAATGATGTGATAATTAGGCACTTAAAAGATGTGATTAAGAATTGGGGTTATAGCATCTTAGATGGTGAATTTATTCATATAAGGTGTATGGCACATACTTTGAATCTAGTTGTTCTTGATTGGTTAAAACATTTTAATCCTTCAATCATTCGTATTCAATGGGTCATTAGGTTTGTGAGGCAATCTCCGGCTAGGTTGAAAAGATTTAAGGAATGCATTCAACTTGAGAAAATTAATTCTAGGAGTTTGTTACAATTAGATGTTGCTACTAGGTGAAATTCAACATATTTGATGTTAGAGTCGGCTCTAAAGTTTGAGAGAGCATTTAAGAGATATGAGCAAATTGATCCTTTCTATAGGAGTGAATTTGATGTAGATCATGGTGATAATGTTGTTGGGCCACCTAATGTTGATGATTGGAAGTCTTGTAAGAGGTTGGTGGGCATGTTGAAATTTTTTTACAATCTCACTTTACATATTTCGGGTTCTTTGTATGTAACGTCAAATATTTATTTTGAATAGATTTATGCTCTCGAACATGTTTTGAAAAAATGGCAATGAAGTGGGGATTTAGATGATTTTACATTGGCCAATAAAATGAAAGAAAAGTTTGAGAAGTATTGGGGGGATATTAAGAAAATGAATAAGTTGATTTATATTGCGACAATACTTGATCCTAGGCATAAACTTGTATTTATTGAATTTTCAATCAATGAATTGTATGGTGATTTGAAAGGTCAAAGAATGTCAAATATTGTCAAGGAATCTATGTATGCTATGTATGATTTCTATTTTACGTTCGTCAATATCTTAAGGTGAAATTGGCCAAGGTAGTGGGAGTCAAGAAATAGATGTGGGTTGTGCAAATGAAGAAATGATTAATGAAGAAGAAATTAGAATAAAAAGGGAGATAATGATGTGTTTTGAAAAATATAAGTGTGATATTAGAGGTGGAGGAAATAAAACGAAGTTGGATAAATATCTCGGTGAAGGTGCTGAAAATAACGAGTGCTGATTTTAATATTATAGAATGGTGGAAACCAATTCTCCTCGGTTTTCCATCCTTTCACAAATAGCTAGGGATATATTGGTGGTTCCTGTTTCTACTTGTTTCCTCATAATCGACATTTAGCACTAGAGAAAGGGTTCTTGACTACTTTAAGAGTTCTTTGACTCCTAGCTTAGTGGAATCTCTTATATGTGCTCAAGATTGGATTAAAAATTCACCGAAACCAATTATTATTGTAGAAAATTTACAAGATGTTGAGAAAATGCAAGATGGTAATTTCTATAACTCTTACCTTTTCATTTGTTATTTCTTGCCTTTATATTAATATTAAAAGTTTAATTTTTTTATCTTATAATATTCGAGTTACCACTTGCTACTACCTCTATTACAAATGGTTGAATCTTGATGGGTTGATGACTTGATGGTGTTTTGGCGTGATGAATGGTATGTGTAAGTTACTAAGTTTCTACTTTCTAAGTTTGATTTTTTATTTCTATTGTTTGTGCAAGTTTAGTCGAGTAAGTGGGAATTGTAAATTTTCATTTTCATTGAACTAGATAAGTGAACCATAGTAGGTAGTAACCTACTCCCTCGGTGCTTCGTGCCCACTGCTTGTAGGCCTATCGCCCACCACCGGTAGGCCTACGGTAGTGGGCGACGAGCTACTCGATTTGGTGTCTCCTGCCTACCGGCGAGTGGGCGGTAGGCTTACTTGTCTTTGATTTTCATAGCATGTTAATATCCTCTTTCGGGAGCATTAAGTGTTTGTTGGGATTTCATTCTATTGCAAATCTCGAAGGAGTGACTGATATTGCAAATGCACATAAATCATTTGTTTTAGGATCGAAAGAGAGCTCGTGTCTCATCCTCTTTGTTGAGAAATGAGAATGGACATTTTACCATGCTTTTGTTGTTTAATGTCGATTGCATTGTATCCGGATATTTGTTTCATCAACAATTATTTTGCATGACTTATTTCCTTTTCGATATATGAATGTTAAACATGTTGGATATTTAAATTTGACTTTAATTGTGAATTTTTGTTTTCGGTGTTGAATCCTTTTTAAAAAAGAAAGTGGTTACTTATTAGCTCGGCATTGCTAATTACTCGGCTTAGGCAAAGAAAAAATAAATGAAAGTTTTGGGAGAACTTGTCTAAAGTTTGAAATGGAGAAGTAATGAAAAAATTCGGTTAAACCAAATTATTTCAAAACCAAACCGAATTAATTTTGGTTCGGTTTCGATTTTTATTTTTCCTACTTTGGTTAACCAAAAACCGAACCGAATTATGCTTAACCGAACCGTTTAACCGAATGCTCACCCCTATTTTCCGATCGCTCTAACAAGCTCCAAAAAGTACAAAAAGATGGTGAAACCTTTTTCAATCCTCTATTGAAGACAAAATAATATTGTCGATTGGAGAGAGAAGGTTAACACCAACAAGTCAAGATTCCGCTTTTTCTTCTTTTTTTTCTCTTTCCTTACTTGCTCTATCAATTATGGGTTAAGGATTTAAAAGGTATTTTAGGCCAAATCTAGTAATCATTATTGACGTCATCACCATCTTGGATTGATTAAAATTTGGACTTAGGTTTTTGAGATGATTTTGGGTTTCAAGATTGACTAAAATTTGGATGGAGATGGTTTTTGACCGATGGGTTTGGAGTCTGTTATGGCGGGTGGTTTTTATGGTTTTTTTTTTTTTTGAGCTATAGTTAGCAAGTTTTGAAGCTTTTTAGCTTGCAATAATAAGGCTACTTTGAGCTATGATCGACGGTAATAATGGTTGTAAACTATAAAGCTGCTATAGTCGACGATTTTTTGGGTTTTTGGGAGTTATAGTTAACGGTTTTGGAGCTATAGAGTAAGTGTTTCATGGTTGTTTTGAAGTTGTTTGGCCAATGGCAATCGGAGTCGGAAGATATGGTCGACAACTATGAAGGTTTTGGGGAGCTAAATGTTATGTTTTGGATGATAAATGCGAAAGTGAGGATGGGTGTAGAGTGTGATGATGGATGACTTTAAAAAATTTAGGTCATTTGGAAAGGATAGTTGTTTCAAGGTTTTTAGTGTGAAATAAATAATGACCTTCTCTTTGGAGAGAGAAGAAAAGAGGCCTTCATAGCGAGGTTTTTTAGGATTTTGGGTAAAAACCCAATTTGGCTCTCTCCTTTCTTTTTTCAATTTCAAACCATAATTCTTTTTTTTTTCCCTCTAAGAACATCCCCAATTGTATTTTTTTTCAATAAAGCCTACAATTGATTTTTTTTTTTTTGTCCTAATTTCTCATATTTTTAATTAGATGAAAATCCAATCTTTTCTATTTATTTTTTTCTTTTGTCTTTTTTTATTATTATGAAATTTAAAAAAGAATGGGGTATGAATTTGAGTGTTAACAATTAGCATTGAAAGCGTTATCTTGAGTCATTTCCAAATCCTACTTTTTATCAAAATTCAATTAAAAAATGATAAAATTAGGGTTTGTTGAGGAATTGAAAACTATAATTAATAATTTGTGAGAAACGATAATTTTTCGAAGACAGATGCTGAGTACTAATATTTAGCTCTAAAAAACACATTCAACTTGAGTCATCTCCAAATTCTATCTTGTATAAAATCCAATCTTTTCTATTTATTTATTTATTTTATTTTTTGCTTTTGTCTTTTTTTTTATTATTTTTTTTAAATTTAAAAATGAATCGGGTACGAATTTGAGTGTTAACAATTAACACTATTAATGTTAACTTAAGTCATCTCTAAATTCTACCTTATATCAAAATTCAATAAAAAAAATTAATAAAATTAGGATTTGTTCAGGAATAGAAAGCTACAGTTAACAATTCGTGAGAAATGATAAATTTTTCAAGTACGGTACTAAGCACCAACATTTAGCTCTAAAAACACATCTAACCTTCTAAAGGGAGGAATAAAGGAAGTTTGAGGGGAGAAAATTTTGACTTTTGTGCTTAACCTCCCTTTTTAAAATCAAATATTAATATACTTTTTTTTCTTCAAAGTAACATTTTCAACCAAAATCGTTATATTATATACTTTTTTTTGTAATTTAATTTATATTGATATCCACTTTTAATCTTTTTTTTTCCCTCAGGAATTATATTATAAGATTTTTGTTTGTTTGCAAATATACTTGAAAAACTGATTTGATGACATTTTAAATATTTGAGAAAAAGAAAAAAAAAGGACGAAGAAAGAAGTGCTGGAGTGGAAAAGAAAATAAGAAAGGGAAAGGAGAGGAAAAGTAAACGGGGGGAAAAGGAAAGGTTCATCTTCTTCGTGGTTTCTGTAATGGTGATTGATGACTGACCGACCAAGACCAAGACTAGTAGTACTGCTGTTTACCAAACCCATACAAATTATTAGTCCTTTTCATTTACTGCTTACTTCAACAAACCATTTTTATGTTCTTTTAGTAACTATCAATTACGGCCACAGCCGCACCGTTTGTTTTGATTTTTCTCTCTGGACTTACCACGACTTTTCTGTTCAATCCAAGAGCGAAGAGAAGATAAGAGAAGACAGTTGAACAACAGTAGAAGAAAAAGTAATAATAAATCATCAAACGCAAAAGATGAAGAAGGGAAGCTTAAACCCTAATGTGAAGCTCAAACTCTCTCTCCCTCCTCCCGAAGAAGTTTCCTTCGCCAAGTTCCTGTAAATCGCTCTCTTTTTCTTGTTCTATAAGCTTATAAACTCATGATTGATGATTGATTCTTTCTGGTAATAATTGCAGAACCCAAAGCGGTACGTTTAGGGCTGGTGATCTGCTTGTCAATCGAGACGGTGTTCGAATTGTCTCTCAAATCGAAACTCAACCTGTAAGTAAACATTTCTTCTTTGTTGCTTCTCTGATCTAATTAATCTTCTTACAAATTTTCACACAAATGTCTGTACAGTTTTTTCTCTTTTTTCTTCACTAATCTAATTAATGTTAAAATTTTTAAACCATTATTAGATCCGTCCTTCAATTATCATTGATTAAAATGTATGTAAATGGTCTGTCTTTTTGGCTTCTCTTTGTGCTACTATGTGATATCCCTACTAGTCCTAATCATTTGCTGTTCCTTTCATAAAATCACTACTTAACTTAAATATATTAATTACTATTAATTTGCTTATTTGTTACTCTATATATGTGTGTGTGTGTGTGTGTTCTTGGTTTCTCAAGATAATTTCTGAAATTATGATCAGTGATATTCTTGTTTTGTTTTGTTTTATTTATTTATTTTTTAATGTTTCTGTCTGTTTTCAGCCACCTCCTATAACTCCCTCTGACAACCAATTGAGTTTAGTAGACATAGACATGGTTAAGGTCATCGGGAAGGGAAGTAGTGGAATTGTGCAGTTGGTGCAACACAAATGGACAAGCCAGTTTTTTGCTTTGAAGGTATCGAATCATTCAGCTCTTACCTTCCTCTTACTCACAATTTTTTTACTACATTCAACTTCCACAGTTTCTGTCTTGGTCTGTAAGTATAGTATTAGATCAGTTTGGTTAATGATTGAAGCTACTGTGTAATCTGTAGCTGATTAAATTAATTTGCCTTTAATACACAATGACTCTACTAATTATTTGCTCAGAAAATAGAACGATAGCATTACAGTTCTACTATCCCTTCAGTTCTCTATGTTCTTATATTCTTAGTGGAACTCAGGTACGAACTTTCGGAGGAATAGGTTTCTAGCAGTTATTTTGAATATTGCTTTTACAGTATATATGAAGTGGTTTGAAGTGAAAATTGCTCTTATAAACTCTTCTGAGATTACTTCCTGTGCATGTTGGAATGCTTATTATCTTTTGGTTTCTGTTTGGTTATTAATCAGTTTACTTGTTGGCCACTGAATGTGTTTGCCTTTTTATTTACATGTCTAGTCCAAACTAGTAAGAATTTGGCATTCTTGTTCAATTTCAGGTTATACAAATGAATATCGAAGAGTCTGCACGCAAGGCCATTGCACAGGAACTGAAAATTAATCAGTCATCACAATGTCCAAATGTTGTCATGTGCTACCAGTCTTTTTATGATAATGGTGCCATTTCAATTATCTTAGAGTACATGGATGGTGGATCTCTAGCAGATTTTCTGAAAAGTGTTAAAACAATTCCAGAACCATATCTTGCTGCCATCTGTAAGCAGGTGCAAAACATGGAAAATTATTTTATGCCTGTGTTCTATTTATTTATATCTGATACCAATTTCTTTATCCATTTTCCCATAAATACAGGTGCTCAAGGGTTTGTTGTATCTTCATCGTGAAAAACACATTATCCACAGGGATTTAAAACCATCTAATTTGTTGATAAATCATAGAGGAGAAGTCAAGATTACTGACTTTGGAGTGAGTACAATTATGCAAAGCACGTCTGGACAGGCTAATACTTTTGTTGGCACATACAACTATATGTCGGTAATTAATTTGATTTTACATAAGATATTAAAGGCAGTTTTTTCTTATTTACAACAGCATTTCCACTTCCTCTGTAGCCATTATGCTGCTGAAATTTGTAAGATTTTCATGTGCGATTATTTTGTAGCCTGAGAGAATTAGTGGGGGAAGATATGGCTATAAAAGTGACATTTGGAGCTTGGGATTGGTATTGCTGGAGTGTGCAACAGGCCAATTCCCATTTTCCCCTCCTGTGCTAGATGAAGGCTGGAGTAATGTCTATGAACTTATGGAAGCCATTGTTGATCAACCTCCACCTTCTGCACCAGCAGACCAATTTTCTCCAGAGTTTTGTTCGTTTATATCTGCATGGTAAAGATAAGTCATGCTTGAAGTTTCTTAATTCTCCTTCTAATACTTGTATAAGCACCCATTGTTTCATACTTTTTTTCCCCATATAAATTTTTCCTTTTTGAGTATGTGCATTTTCGGTTGAATTAAGATCAAGGAAAACGGAAATCATGAAGCTTTTGTATCCATGTCCGAGGTTTTCCATTTATTTCTAGTCATTTTCTCCATTTTGGAAATATCATTGACTGAGAACTCATTTTCCCTGTTGTTTGGCATGTTCCATATGATTTGGTTTAGTGCTGGAAGCTGCTTTTTTCAATGGGAATTTAATGCTCTGGCATTACCCCCTTTCAATAGTATTACTGATCTTGTAACTTTGGCCCGATAATTTTGTGAAGTTACTGATTTTCGTTCCATGGTTCTTTGTTATCTTTTCTCTTCTTTTTTCTCCAGTGTGCAGAAAGATCCAAACCATAGACAGTCAGCAGATGAACTGATGGTATTTGAATTTTGAAGTCCTATGATTGTTTTTCTGAGTGGAGAGATTAGCCCGTCCACCAAGTGTTAATGGCACTCCATGTCTTCTGTCTCGCACTCTTTTCTCACTCTCTATCAATATGGAGTTCTATTAATACTCGGCAGAGTGCTGATATCCCACCCTTCTTTTTCCTCTTTGTAATCCATGCCAAAACATGTATGTGCTATTAGTGGACTCTCATGGATCTGACTTTTTTTTTCCCTTTTCTAATTTCAATACCAGACACACCCATTCATGAACATGTATGAGGACCTGCATGTGGATCTCTCGTCATACTTTACAAATGCTGGATCTCCTCTTGCAACCCTTTGAAACTTGTGGTAAGTCTAATTTTTCCATTTACTTACTTGAAATCATTTGTTCAAATTTTTTTGTATCGAGTTCATATGAAGAGTAGTTGCATAATCCAGGTCCTATTAATCATTTAAGAGTTTGCCTGTGTTTCTATTTGACTAACACTTTTAGCATGTGAACCATAATTCTTATGAGAATTCATGTTCTTTAGATTTGAATTTAAGCTATTGTGCTTGACAAAACTCCTGTTCTACAAGCAGATACTCCATGAGACTCTGAGAGTTAAGGGAAGTTATCTATTGAAATTTTGAAGGCCTGAAGAAAGATTTTTAACTGTAATTGTGGCTTAAAATAAATCCACTTGCTATTCACAAAACATCCCAGTGTCAGAATACTTAGTGCATGCCATACCATGGAAGAGATAGCTTGCGGTTTGAACTTTCAAGGAGGCTTTTGGTTTGTAAGAAACATCGAGGAATGTGGTTTCCTATGTAACTTACCGAAATAAAGAAATTTTATTTGTTTTAGTTGTCTGTCTAGTGTTGCAAATGCATCAAACTCCTGTTTGAAAGGTGTCAATATATGACTTTGTGTGGAACTTTAACCGTGCAAACTCTGAGGAACTCGCGTGTACTTTCACCATCTAATGGCTCATCTGTCTTTTACCTTTTTTGGGTAGCCACGAGCTGGTTTTTCCTTGAAAGAATTGTAATTGGGCAATCCAAATAATTGCTGGCACCTGTGATCATACGAGTTCTATGAGAATACTTGTCTGTAGAGGTTTATACCGGAACGCATGCTGAATCTGCAGACCAAGCAAGGTTGTAAAAACTAGTTGGAGCTCCATAGCTTTGTCATCTTAAAACCTTTATGTTATATGACTAGCATGTCAATAGGCTTAATCTACCTAGCATCTAGAACTCCTAGCTTTCGAGGGTGGGTGGGAAATCTTGAGGTCTGGAATATCACGACCCGAACCCTCCACCAAACTCCCAATATTTACATTCTAAACTCTAAACTAGCTCCAATAAAAGTTGCATAACACTGATGCCTATCAAGTAGGAAGCAGGTGCGTAGACAATCAATCAAGCTGAACGAAGTATTCCCATATATTTAGCAGTTTAAATATACAAAGCTGCCTGCCAACTGATGATTAAGGAATTACAGTTAGCCCAGAGAAAAACTGATGGGCTAAACCAAGTCACTGTAACAACGTGAACTAAAGGGTCTTTCTTTTATTGATATTGATTGCAATCCGATATCAAAAATTTATATCCATGGTCAACGCAAGTTACTAGTGGTACGTTCTCCTTCCAAATTTCCTATGAGCTTTTAAGTCTACTACAATAATTGCGATATTGTCTTTGCTTCCCTTCTGGAGAGCAAGCTTCGAGAGGCGCTCTGCTGCTTCACGAGCAGCAGGATTGACTCCTCCACCCCTTTGCGCAGGCAGGGTATCGCCATTCCTTTTATGGCAAAGAAGGATTCTTTTTCGTGCAATGTCACAGGCCTCCTCGTTTGTCATGACATCCCACAAACCATCACTTGCTAAGATTAGGCACTCGTCTTCTTTTGTTCGAGGAATAAACGTTACTTCTGGATCTGGAATAATCCACGGTTTCAAGTATCTGTCACCTGTGTACAGTAAGTTAATAAATTTTGATGTGAGTAAGACTGGAGTTATTTATCAGTAGCAATGGACTTGGTGCTTTATCAAGCATGTCCATAATAGATTGACGCGAGGATGTGCGAGTGAAAACTAATATTATCAAGGCTAGAGACAAATAAATACCAATGGACCTTGACATTGCAAGAACACCAAAAACACGAGAACCATTCCACTGTATGACCTTGCCTCCTGCACCCTCTATTCTTGCGCGTTCATCTTCTCTATCTGGCTGTAAGTAAAATAAAGGTACAAGGAAATCAATCACCTGGATGAAGCTAGATTCCTGAAATACTGACAAAAAAAAAAAAAAGGGAAGCCGTGCCTTACTTTGTGGTCTGCTGACAATGGCATGGCCACCTTTCCGCGATGCAGAACTGCTCTTGAATCACCACAATTTGCAACTATAATATGAGTTGGGCAAACAATGGCAACTACTGCTGTAGAACCGACAGTTTCGGTGGCAATCGGTTTACTGCCGCCATTGCTTCCTGTAGCACCTCTGCTTGATTCTCCTGTCTCAGCATCAACTTTTAGGAAACAATTTGCGAATAATTTCTTCCAGTGGTCCTGCCAGCTATTCCAAGTGCTGTCGTCACAGAAGCTTGATTTTGCAAGTTCAATCTCCTCGGCCAAAGCCAAATGCAGGCGCTTGCTGCAATAATCAGCAACCTGTGCAAATAAATCCCCAAGTAAAAAGCTGATCAATATACTTGCGTGGAAGGAAACTAAAGGAAATAGGAGAGAAGCTTCATCAAGCAAACCTGAGAGCCCCCATGTCCATCATAAACGCCAAAGAAATGGGCAGTGAAGTGGCCAAGACTTTGATTCTTGCCTTGGGAAACACTGTCATCGATCAAGAATTGAGTGGGAATTTGCATAAATCTAGGGACAGTAGCAACAGCATCTTCCATCTCTGGTCTTCCTCCACGGATAGACGTAAATCCCCAAAGTGGTATGCTACGCAATTCAGTAACACTCTGCCTGCTTGTTCTATTGATTTTCTTTTCCTGGGACACTCTGTCCTCAGGCGGTTCCCTGAGCAAATTTTGATTCAGCCCAGATTCATCCACACCCTCACCTTCAACATCCATTGCAATTGACACAAAGTCTTCCACAGGGTCCAGTTCACCATTTGGTTCTCTCGCGTTGAACTTATCAATCACTTGAACATTACAAGTACTTTCTTCAACCTCCATTGGAATTGGTGAGGGTGAGTTCCTGTCACTAGTTACAGATGGCTCATACTCCTCGCTTGGCTGCTTAATGGTTTCCCTAAAACTCAAGCTACTCTCATTACTAAAGTAGCCACCCTCACTTTTGGAAGCAATGGAGTGATCACAAGGCATCATTAGGTTTGAATTTGATAACAAGGTTGCCCTATCTGTAATACGCTTGAGCCCCGAAAAGTCAACGCGGGATACTGGTGGTGACTCGTTGCAGGTCATTTTTTCCTATGCTAAATGGTATATCTATTGAATTCATTTGACTTCCATCAAATTAACTTGGAAACCCTCCAAAAAAGAACTAGAAAGAATGCCGAAGCTCTATCCACACATAAACAACATGAAAAAGCGAAGAAGCAAAATCACTGCCAAATGAAAGAAAATGGATGAATGAAATGGTTTTAAGGTTGCATTATATGAGATTGATCAAGGAAAAAAAAAACTTGATTATATGAGAATCAAAGAGTACAATGGAATTAAAATACTAGAAATTTATGGATGCTTCTATTCAAGTTCAACTAGACTATACTCAATCCGAGAGAGAGCCAAAATATTTTTTCTAAGTACCTTCGAAAAAACTTGTAAAAGATTTAAGATATGAATGAATCCAAGTGAGATAAATATGAGAAGAGAATCAGGCGTGACACAAGGAAACAAAATGGGAAAGAAAGAAGTAGAAACAAAATAGAATAGCCTCGAAAAACACAACCAAAATGGGTTCCTTGAATCTGAGGCAATTTATCTCAACCTCTTGCTCTTGGGATTTGGCTCCTCTGTCTGTCTTCCTTGCATAACTGTTAACTTGATCAGACCACCTTCAACTAGCTGAAAGAAAATTACAAAGGACAAATTAAAACTGAGTCACCAAGGCAAGGATACGCATCAAAACTTCCTAAATCAATACACCTGTAACCATTTTTGCAGGTAATAGGTGTGAGATTTGCACTTGTGCTTACCCTTTAGCATGGTAAGAGGGAAAGTTGACTAATTAAGGAGGCAAAGCTCACATGATAGTATGGCAGACCAAAGAGAGACTTCAAGATGGAGAGACTCACGTGTCCGTTGCACAGTTTTAGTTAATTATATAACATATATTTGATTAATTAACCTTAATTAATTTATCATTTTAGAACCTACATTTGTAATCATCATGATTTTCAATATGTTTACGGGTTATTTTTTTCCCATATTCTTTCTAACTTTTTCTTCAGAAATAAGAGGGAAAAAAACAACATATAAATAAGGGAAATTTGATTAGAAAAGAAAATCTATTGTATTTTTGAAACAAAAACCGACTAAATTGAGGATATATGATTAATATTGATCAACTTTTTTTCAAATAATCAATTCGTTTTAATAAAATAAAAGAATAAAATTTTAATTTAACACCTACGGTTGTAGAAAAAATCAAGCTAGTCAAATTAAATGAAAATTCTGTAAATAAGTTATCTTGATTGATATTTTCCGTTTATTATATATTTGCTTGCTACTATTGATGTTATTTTAAGTTTTATCATTAACATCATTTTAGCTCCAATAAATTAAGAAAATCATATGGAATCTTATTATGACTGTAAATAATATTATTTTGTGTTAAATGAAAAAATGGAAGCGTAATGCATGTAAATGTGGAACGTAGAGGGGAGGGTGAGGCTGATTTGATTTTATCCGAAGATTGAGAGGGTGACCAAAGCGAGTGACGTGTAAGAGCTTTTGAAAAATAGTATGGGGAGATGTACAGGCAGATGCATGTATGTACTGACACGCCATCTTTCATTCTCTTTTCTTCCCTTCCTCTTAAAGGCCTAAATGTTTGTGCCACTGCCAAGCTTCCATGTACGTACTCTCAAGCAAAATTATTTTAGTTTCATAACTTGCGTTATCTCGCAAATTTATTAAAATATATTAAATTAAAAAAAATTTATAAAAAAATTGCATGCATCGAATAGTGATATCAAGGTATTGTTTGGTAATCAAAAATAGAACAATAGCAATGAGAACAAAAATTTTATTCCCACGTTATAACTCGTTTAATTAAAAGAAATAAAATAGGAATGATAATAAAAATTTATACATAATTTCATTCTCATATAAGAAGTGAGAATAAAATTAAGAAATAAAAATAATTTTTTTTCAAAATAATAATATATTTTATTTATTTATTATTTATTAACTACTTTTTATTACCACAACAACCACTATTATCACCATCATTACCGCAACCACCACCACTATCACCTTTATTATTTTTACAATCATTTGATAAAATTATTTTTTTAATCATTATTTTTATTTGTTAAAAAAACTAGATATTAAAAAATTTAAATTACATTCCGATTCATCATTAGTATTCCAAACACAATATAAAAATTAAAATGTCATTTCAATTCTTTAATTTTCATTTCTATTCCTAAATTCTTATTTCATTTTTTATAACCAAAGAACACCTAATAGCATAGGAAACAAGGAAACAGTGATAAATTTAAAATAATTGGGTAATAATATTGCATGATAGGCAGCTAAGGGATGTAAATAAAAGTTTAATCATAGTTGGGGGACCCTTTTTAATTTATCCCTATTTCATTTTTATTTTTGTTATCCTGTCTAACTGATTATTAAAGCACAACAAAGTGCCTTCTTTCTTTCACCATCAACGAAGATTAAATCAACTACTAAAATTGTTTTTTATTTGCATCTGAATGAAAAGCATGTATGAGTCACATTTTGTAAAACTGAAAGAGAGATGCTCTTATATTTATCTGAGACTCAACTAGTTTGCATTTCATTGACTGATAAATAAAAACTGTTGAAACTTTCATTTCTCGATGGCTGTATAATAAGGACCTGCCAACAACATATACCCCACTATAGTACCAGCCTAAAGCCTAGCCCTAAAGGAATACAAGCCCACAAGAAACATTAAATAAAACCAAAAGCAAATCAGCATAAAAGGACTAAAAATCTTAGAACCTGCAAAACAGGACGTGCAGCAGACAATAGAAATGGGAAATATTTCAGAGCTCCACCAAGAGCAGTATCATGTGGCCAACTCAAACCATTTCCAAATAGCCTTGGTATTGACAAAGTGTTTGGCATCATGGGTCAGATAATTACTTGATCTAGAGAAACATTTTCAGAGTATCTGCAGCAGAATAACTCGCTACACTAGTGAGATCTCCATTGTCACTCAATACGCATTTTGCCAATAACTCTGTTTCAAAGGATCTAACGCATGAAGCAGCAACAAGAAAATATTCATCCACCAAGAAATTAGTAGTAGTTGATGCAAAATAAATGAGTCTAGCAAGTGAGAATAGCAGCATGTTAAAAGAAGCTTGCTTCCTCACCAAAATCAGATATAACTAGAAAAAAACATCGACCTGAACGCCTCAAGAGAACCAGTTACAGTAAACTATTTCTTCAGTGTTAAAAACCAATAGTTGTCAGTCTGAGCAGTGACGATCACATTATTGGATGCTGACATTGAGAAGTTTAGGCTTCAAAAACATCAAGTAAAGGAAGCAGTTAAAAATTTCTTCCTATCATGGAGTTCGTGGTTAGATTAAAATTTTATTTATTTATGAGCGTGAAGTAATGAAAATATAGTGAACTAAACATTCAAAATACGCATTCTCTGAATGACATAGCATCTTTATTCAGTTCCACAATATTAAAGCCTTTGGTTCTTTGATAAAATCAGTATGGACGTCCTATCACAAATTCCAAACTTTAGCACAAAAAAAACAAACAATCAAACTTTATATTGAACTATTGTGTGTCATTGAACATCCAAGCAATACCGACACACTCAAAAACTTGCTATGTTCGAATTACAAAGCATCAATAGTGACAATTTGTAAACATGTATGGTATGTACAATCTGTCCGTTCAGGATTTCACTAAAACTAGATATCCTGGGACAAAATTATTTCCAAGTAACATCACACTATTTTCTCTATACTTATCTTATAGCCTCCACGACAAAGCGACCAAGCCTTCTTCAAGAGTTGATATTGAAGGAGAATTTTGATAGCAACTGTGGAACTCCTGATATTACTGGTCCATATGTCTACAAAATATTATAATTAGTATGAATTAAAAATGAAAACCACCTTTAGAAAATTTTTACAAAGAGATGTCCATGGCAATTGAATCGGTGAGGACTTGGGAGCAGATCGATAGTAATTGGAGAAACAAGTAAGTGATGCAATATGAAGATAAGACTACAATCAGCAAGACTAAAGGGAAAGACAGTAGCCCATCAATAGCCCCCAAATTTCCCCCTATCCAGGAAGGACTAATTAAAAGCAATCAACAACATAATAAAGCCAAATAAATCTTCCTAAAATAAAATGTAGTGCACTAATTTAATCTCTACAGACATCCAAACACCATTGATGTTTGCCGATCCTCATAAAGGGTTGTACCTTGTGATTTTCGTGAACTTGGCATAAAGGAACTGCAAGCAGTTTAAGGTTCTTCGGTACAATGAACTTTCGACTCACTGGTAACCTTACAAGGTAGAGTTTAATGCATTCCTGAATAATGAAACAAGTACAAGAAATGAAGAATCTTTAGAAACCAAAACTTCAAGGGAGCAGTTTCAGTGTACTTACCTTAGGCACTTTGACATTAGGGGGCCTATATGGATACAGCAAGGTTTCAAAGTCAGACCTCCACCACATTCCAAGGCAATCTCCCACCTAAAACATTGAGAATCTGTAACCTCTCAGAACATGCAACAGTAATACCACAACTGAACACCATTCCAATTACCTCCCATTACCTCCCAGTGATCGGTTTCATCTTCATTCACAGAAAGCATTCTTGACAGCTTACGTTCCAATCCATCAATATCTGAAAAGTCCAAAAATATATACTTCAATAAGCCTTTAGAAGAATACCCCTTGGTTCAAGAACAATTGACTTTTCTAATTTCAGTTCGTGAAATTGCTTAATTACAGTTTAAGATTTACCTGATTCGCCTCGCCTTAATCGACCACCAGGTAGCTTAAAGGTAGCATTTCTTACTTGCAATAGCAATAGATGGGGATGTTTGAACAGCTCAACCTGATTTGACAACCATTAAAACCTTTCAGTTTAATGTATCATCAAATGCTAAGATTTCTTAATTGTACGGTAGCAAATTAAAACCTTTTGTGTTAACATTTTAGCAAACGCTAAAGTCTCAAAGGATTCTTAGATGCTAGATGGAGACTTTCGAACAACTCAAGTAACATGCATAAATTTTTCTGTTTAATATATTCTCAATTTCTGAGATTCCCTAATCGTAGGATTGAAAAGATTGTGGATTCCAAGCTTTGTCATAGAGTTTCCACATCGCTCACGGCACATCTTCATTTCTCCTTTATGCATAGGAAAGGAAGGGGGTTAAGGACTGTTGCTGCACCCATCAAAACGATGTGATTCAAAATTTGGAAATCCAGTTGCCTTGACCACTTTGGTAGCCAAAGGCTTATCATATCCCGTATTAATAGACGCTTGTCTTCCCAAGTTCCAACTTGGTTGAATCAATTTGTTAAAACTTGAAAAATCTACAACATGCTCATTAAGGTAACCAAATGATTTTATCTATCAGTTCTTTCAAGATTAATTCAAAAACATCCGATACATAGTAAATAAAATCCTAACAATAGACACAGTACAGTGCTAATCTTAATTCGGTAAGCCCTCAAACAACTTCAAGAAACGATACCACGTCCACAAACAACAATCAAACAAAAACATAGTGCATAAAGAATCGAGAATAGCACAACTAATTAATTAAATTACTATAAATTAACCATGAAAACGAAAACTGATATTGAAAGAAAGCAGAGAACTAACCAGCATAACAGCCTGCACAGAAGTCCTCAGTCCACGAGCATTAAAGCTGAATTTGAACAAGTAAAAAGAAAAAAATTCCCAGATTAGTACAAAATCAATCGAATAAATAAAGAATAGAGTACTGTATTGAAAGAAAAAGAAAAACAAAAAACGAGTACTTGGATTTCATTCTTTGGACACGGTCAGCTACAGTCTCATCCCTGAAAGCAATAGGGTCTTTGGATCCAAAGTAATAACTACTCAGCGGATATAATTCTATCATAATACTTTGATGATTGTTGTTATTTTCATGGTTGTTATTGTCAGTTACAGTTACTGCATCATCACCCATCTTCAACAACTGTCCCGACACACAGAGACCCCAGAATAGAAACTGCTGGTTGAACTAGGAACTCGGTAATAATAAAGAAAGAATATAAGGAATAGAATACGTACGTGGCTTTTGATTTTTATGTTCAACGAGATGGAGGACTGCTTTAAAGTCTAAAACGTGGCATTCCAGAAACAGAAAGAACAAGGTAGCCGCTGCTCCTGCATCTCTCTACTTACTTTGAAGGAAAAAAAATATTTAATTTTAGGAAACCTGTCAATATTACAAAAAGCACTAAAAGAGGTGGTGTTTTTCTATTCGCCCACTTTGATTTACTTCATTCTTAGTTTCAGCCATTCTCACTCTGTAGATTTTTGAAATTATATATCTGTCATTCATCAATTCTCTTCTTAATTTTCTTCTTCCGTCTTTTTTTCCATCATTTCCTTTTCATGCTTTTCTTTTTTTCGTTATAAACGGCTCCATATTTGTTCTTGATTGATTCTCCTTTCAATTTCTTTATTTATCCTTTTTCTGTCATTCCATTTTTTTTAAGACAAAGCACTCACTTTCATTGCTTTTTCTTTTAGTCAGCTACTTGCTATTCAAGCATAAATTATAAATTAGTCTCTTTTGTTTCAGAAAACAAATTAATTTATCACTCTGATTTGAAAAACTAATATTTTAATTCTTTTTATCATTTTCAATTTATTTTGATTTAAATAATAAAAAAAAGTAAAAATATAAAAATATTTATGAGAAAAAAAAGACATTTAAAAAAATTAATCATAGTTAAAAGAATTAAATAATTACTTTTTGAAATTAAAAAAATTAATTAATTCATTTATCAAAATGAAAGGGACTAATTTATAATTTACTTTATGATTCAAATGACCTCTTTTATCGTTATTTGCATGTGATTTTTTTATATATAAATATGATCATGGTTGTCGAGTGCATTTTTAATATATCAATTCTAATCTTTAATTTGTTTTAATTCTTTAATACACTATTAATTATGTTTATTAAGATTGAAGGTACGTGCACATTATATGAATAATTTCAATATAAATTAATGAAGTTATCTATTTAAATAAATAAACTCAAAATAAATAAATATTGGTGCAAGGATTTGAAAGTGAATAATTTGATTATATATTAAAACTACCATTGTTATGGGGTTTACCTCACATTTGGACCCTATAATGTTCGAATTTTTTTTATTCAAACTCTATTTTTTTTACTTGATTGAAATCTTCTACTTTTAGAAATTTATTGATTTAGGCCCTCCATTAACTAATCATCCGATGTGACACATTAAAAATAACGATAACCAATCAAGAATGGACATGTGGCATAATGGGTCTCAAGTTTCAAAGTTTTTGTTAAAAGAAAAGGCTAGAATTAAAAAAAAAAAAAAAAACTACTATTAAACTAACAATTAGTATATAAAAATAAATGGGAAAAGACAAAAATGCTCCATTCCCATTTTGATTTTACACGTCCGTTGCAATTTGATTTTGATTTAGAGATTCAAAGATCAATTGCCTAGATTGATGTTAATAGGAAATGCCTTTTTTGTAAAATATTTATGTGTATTAGAAGATTATGGATTGAATAATCGTAATTGAAATCGAAATCAATATTGATGGAAATTCGAGTTAAATGAAAAAGCAAGTGGAACGTATCCTGGCTCATAGGTTTTGTGTGCCTTGCAAGATTTGCCAAATCGTTATTCTACAACTTAGCACGACTTGAACTCCATTGGTTTAATATATCAAAATTAGTAACTAACTCTTTATTCAAAGCACTCGAAAGATCATAGACAACAAATTTACCAAACATGCGGGAACTTTCCTCTTTCATTATGCTAACGGTAGTGAAGTAATGTTGGTTATGGTGATAATGGTTGGGTTAAGGTGGTAGAGGTAAGAGGCGGTGAAAGGAAAAGGGAAGTGGTGGCGAGCTGTGGTAAAAAAAGAGAGGAACGAAGCGTAAAGCAATGAGGAGGAGAATTTGAATGAAGAAGATGGAAAGGAAAAAACATATTTAAGGTTGATTAAAAGAAGGGTAATGAGCATCAAGAAATCCTTTATGTCACGAATTTGTCCTTTTCCAAGCTCTCGTGTAGCACTTGGCTCACTTCTTTTCTAAACCAAAGCAAGTAAGCCTTCTTTCACACAAAGTTATCAAGTAAGAAAAACACATACAAGAGATACAAAAATTCTTTGTATTACTCTCTAAAGCTTACAACTCGTAATTACACTTTTTTAGATTTCTAGATGTCTTGGCCAAATGAAGGCCTCACCTATTTATAGTTTTCCACCTTCTCAATGGATTTGTTAGGATCTATTTGATCTAATGGTTATAAGTTATTATTTAAAATTATCATGTCTAGATATTTACAAGGAACTATCTAGATATGTATAAGCTAGAATAATAAGAGACTCTCTAGAATTCTCTAGAACATATATAGATTTCTTTTGAACATCATAGAGGCTTCTTCATTGCTCTATATTCTGCTAAAGGCTTTCGGACTTATCTAGTATTTCTAATTAGGAAAATCCCTCTTTCAAGCGAGGCATAACATTCTCCTCAACCTAATTTGAAGACATCCTCAATGCGCCTTTATTGTACTTTTCAATCTTCCATGCAAATTGCCATAAGGGCTTCAACGGGTTCCCAACTAACCTCACTTTACGGTAATCCCTTCTATTTCATATAATACAACTTACTTGGTGGCACTCCATGATGTCTAATTGTGTAGTTATTAAGTATGACATCAACTTTTTTATCATACTAGTTAATAACTACTATAGGCGCCCTACGAGAAACTCCTTAGCTTGGATCCTCCTCATTCGTATGGTATAACTTCGAGCATACTAATATAGAATATTAGATAGATCTTCAACTTCGGTGGCAACTCTAGACTATAGACCACCTCTCCCACCTTGTGCACTACCTCGAATGGTCCTTTATATCGATGTATGAAGTCTTTGTGCACCTTTCAAAATGCCTTATGTTGCTTATGGTAGCAACTTCGTCATCATTTTATCGGCTAGTTGAAGAGAGACATCTCTTCGTTTCTTGTCGAGCCACTTCTTCATATTTTTAGCGAGTCTTGTTCAAATACGTTCACATCAAGTCTACCTACTCTTGCCAACCTTTGATTAACAAATATGCACTTAGGTTGCTTTCTTGGTACTTGTCATCAAGCATTATTGTACGTGAAGTGAGAGGTCGTTAGCCCGTCATGATCTCGAAAAGATTTTTGCTAGCATACTCACTCTTTTGTAAGTTGTAGGAGAATTAGGTAATATTCAACAACTTAGCCCAATCTCGCTAGTTAGCACTCATAAAGTACCTCAAATATATCTTTAATAATGCATTAAACCTCTCGGTACGCCTATTCATCCGAAGGTGAAAACTTATGGAGTAACGTAGCTTCAAGCCTAATAACTCGAATAGTCTGGTTCCATACCATCCTAATAAATCAAGGATCCCAATGACTAATTATATGTCGCGAGCATGTCCTAATACTTCATCACATACTTAAAAACTAGCTAGCTTAATAGTGGTCTTGGTTGTCACATTCGCTAGAGTTGGTATGAAAATGTCATACTTAAAAAACTTATCCACGACTATGATAATGCTTCTAAAGTTTTCTAATTTTGGTAAAGCCATTATGTAATAAATGGTGATTGTCTCTCATAGTCTCTTTATAATATACCTCCGGACACTTGGTTTTCAACCTTATCTTTCTAATGCACCAAGCATGCTCTTATATAGGACTCTATATCATCTCACAATTACGATAAAAAATATGCTCGCTCCAGTGAAGGCTTTAGCACGTAATTATTCTAGTTGTTCAGCTCACATCGAGTCATGGCATTCCTTCATCAAATCTCATCGGAGGTTTTTCCACTTAGGCATATAAATTCTCCTTCCTTTCATGTAGAGAATGCCATCCTTCTCTCAAATTTTTTGAGTTTTGCCCGCCCTTGCAAGGGTCAACAAGCTCTTAATGGTAGGATCATGCTCAATTCCTTCTTTAATGGGAGCTACAATCTTCTCTTCCACCTTCATTATATGATGCATATTAGCCTTTCTACTTAGCGCATCAGCCATCACATTAATCTTGCTTAGCCTATACGCAAAGACATAGTCAAATTTGGCAAGAAAGTCATTCCATTTAGCTTACTTCGGCATCGGTTTCTTTTAAGTTTGAAAGTAACTTCGGTCTTCACTATAAATCAAAAATCTAACAGGTAGTACCTTCTAGTACATAAATAATATACCACTACGAGTCATCTCTTTCTCTTGAACCAAATATTGATGTTTGATTTCATTTAGTTTCTTACTCTTATAAGCTATAGGATGTTGTTCATATATCGACACATCACCTATAGCAAAATCAAAAGCTCGTATTAATGTATACCTTATATGGTTTGGTTGGGTCGACCAAGCTCAACACTAGCTTCTCACCTTCACTTTAGTTCCTTGAAAGCTTCTTAGCACCATTCACTTTAGTCTCATCTCTTATTTTTCTTTAATAAGTTGGTGAGAAGGGCCACCTTTTTAAGTAATCATGGATAAAGCGGTGATAGTAATTGGCTAATCTAAGAAAAAGTGAAGCTTGGGTATCTTGGTTGGCTCTTTTCATTTCGAGATAGCTTTGATTTTAACCTCATCCATCATTAACCTTCCTTCCTTAATCTTGTGCCTAATAAGAGAACTTGTTTTTTTATAAAAGAGCACTTCTTCTTTTTGACATATAACTTGTTCTCCCTTGATACCTTAAATACGGTATGTACGTGGTCTAGATACTTCTCTAATGTAGAGATATAAATCATGATGTCATCAAGATATACCACTATGAATGAATCCAAGTATGGCTGAAATACCATATTCATTAAGGTGTAGAATATAGTTGGGGCATTCGTCGGACCAAACGGCATAACAAAGAACTCATAGGAACCATACCTTATGACGTACACTATCTTTGGCACTATTCTATGATA